TCTCTTCATAATACTACACCAAAGTTTCCCCCCCCAGGGGGGGAAAGGTCCAATAATATTATCTTCTGGTTTTCATATGTTCCATTCATTCATTATCAGATTTGATATTTGAAAGGGGGGAAAGAATCAACTATAGTAAAGAAATATTCAAACTCAACAAATACTCATCGCTGTCAAGTCGGAACCAACTCATAGCTGACCTCCAGCTGGTTTTTCAAAGCTATAAACTGCTCAGAAGGACAATGTTCATCTCTCTCTCTCAAAGTAGGGAGTGGATTTGCCTTTGGGTTGAAAGCAAAATTCCCTATCTACAAGGCCTCCAAATCTCTCTGAAATACTTGAATACCAAATATGTTTTCCTTAGAAAGTAATGTTTCCAAATTATGTTTCAATATTCTAAGAGCATCTGCTACTTCATACCAACTCTTGAGATTTAAGAAACATTTTTAAACTTTTATAGATTGTTTAACTTGGACTCAAGTCGGATTTATAACGACCCTATTAGGGCAGAGTAAAACTTTATCACAGGGTTTCCTAGGCTGAAATCTTTATAGGAGGGAGCTCCAGGGGCTTAGTGGTAAGGAGTTGCACTGCCAACCCAAAGGCACACCCACAACTAGAACACACACCAACTGCTCCACAGGGGAAAGATGGGTAATCTCCTCCTGTGAGATCTACTTCCTCTGAACACCCCCCAGAAGGTCACCTATGACCTGGTTTCTACTTGACAGTACATAATAACAATATTCATTAGAGAAGCAGATCTCCATGTCTTTTTTGGCCTACTTTAAGTAGCAGGTGTGTGGGTGCAAATTGTAATTGTTTTGGTTAACACCAAAGTATTTAACCATTGAACACCAAACCAGTCAGTGACTCAATAACATATGCAATGCATCACATCATTCTTTTCTTTGGGTTATTCTAACACTGGGACAAGCAATAACACCTCTCTTTCCAAATGCCAGTCCTCTGTACAACCTCTTATCTTCCAAACTGGATGCAATTTCTGCTATCTGCCTTAATATTATAATCATTCCCACCATTTTTAGCTTCTGCCAGTATATACAAGGGACTTCTGGTGGTGTAGTCCACAGTGAGTTGCCCTGCTAACCCAAAAGACTTTCCTCTCTGATCCACCAGCAGCTTCCCAAGCAAGTTGGTCTCGGAAATCCAGCACCTACCAGAGGACCTGATATGAGTTGGTATCAACTTGATGGCAATGAGAGGAGGCGAATGAGTATATTCAAGCTCTCGGAGTTTGGCTTAGGATAGAGCAAGGTTCAGAGCCACTGTTCACAGAGTCACTGCAAGTGTTAGTTAACATGTTGGCCGGTAACAACAACAGAAATGACATTAATTGCTATAAACCTTGATTAGTGTATCAAACTTTGATCAACCCAATTTTGTTACATTGGGATAACATCAGCTGCCCATACACACCTGAAAAGTATCTGTACTTTTTAAGGCTAAACAGTAAAAAAAAATACTAAACTACCTTAATAATCACCTATCATTTCTTTAGTTTTTCAGAGAAGTGAAAAATAAAAATCTAAAGGCTATTTTTCAAGAAAATAAACAGCAATAAAAATGATAAATTTACAATATTTATTTCATAAGGCCTCAAAACATATACTTCTTGTATCAACATAGCTAGAAAAAGCAAAACACAATTTCAATAAAGCACATATATGATAGAAGATCATCTCCCTGGAATGCTGAGAGCCTGGGTTCTTGCAGAAAAAAATTTATTCTTAGGTCTTATGTTGAAGAAAAAGGATGATCAAAATGGGATGTTTTAAAATATGGTATATATAACATTTACAAAATCACAATTCTTTTTAAAGTGTTAACTGTCAAAACACAAACAAATGAACACCACCATAGCTTTCATGTTATCACAAAAACAAGGCAACATTACTTCAACGGTCTACTACAAACTTCAGCACCTCACCACCAGGCTGGATTATCTGGTCATCACCAGGCAGGCAGTCACTGTCCAGACTATCATATCATCCCCCACTCATAACACAGTATTTCAATTATTCCATCATGAACCTTTCAAAAGCCTTCTTGAGCACTCTATACTTTGAAAATATTCTATTTTAGACTCTGCAACAAATAAATTCTCTTATTTTGAAAAAACTTCCCAGGTGATCAAGAAACATAACATTGGCTAAGAAGCACTATCTCCTTGTAAGACTCCTATACTGGCTATTTTACAGAGGCCTTCCCTCTCATCTCTTTCCTCAGCAAAGCAAGCTCTCTACTAGGAAGGAAACATACTACAAGGGAAAGCGCACCACACAGGCAGACCTCAATTCCAGTCCTGGCTGGATCCCTCTCTAATCATCTGATGCAAATTTTCAGTTTGTTTTGTTTTTCTAATACTATAAAGACCAAATGCTATGATCTGTGTAAAATAATAGCTTTATTTCTTATAAAGCACTACACAAACAGATCATTCAAAATTCTTGTTAGTTGATTCTAGGTGTTTAAAAACATCTTGCTTCTCTTTTTTTAAAGGAAATCTGGCTTGTTATACAGCCCAAAAGGTTATTTATAGTGCCAGGCAAAAAATAACCAAACCCATGCATTCAAAACTAAGTTTCAAACGAGAAAATATGCAAAATGAATCTATCTATGTCAAAGTGCCAAAATAGTAAGTGTCACAGAAAGGCATCCCAAACAAAGTCTACTTTGAGTTGTAACTGAGTAGGTAAAAAAGGTTTTCTTATTAAAGGGAAAATGCAGGCTACAGCAGGATTGGTGTGTTATAGCATAGGCCAAGAAGAAGAGGGGCGTTTATAATGAAATACACAATTAAAGATGGCAGGGGAAGGTCTGACAAGTTTACATTTCTTGAGATTGCTACTAGAAAGAACTACACATATATATGAGTTAAAAGTAATATAGTTAAAACCGGTAAAAGAAGAAAATTATCCTAGAAGCTGTGTGGAAAATGAACAGAAGTGATCACAGAGAAATGCCAGGAAAACCATTTGGAAAATTTTATATTTAAATAATACAAATAAGATTCTGTAATAAAGTAGAAGCTAAGGACATGGGAAGGAGAAAATCTGACGGGCACTGCAGAGATTCAGCTAGACTTAGTGATAGGTTGAATTAAAGGAGTGGAAAAAAGATTCGAAAATGGTGCCAAGGAATTAGTCATGGGTAGCCCATGGCACAACCACAACAGCACTAACAATCCTTACGCCAGCTTTCCCAGACTGCATCCGAATCCGTTTAGCTGTGTAAACCAGGTCCGCAGTGAGACACTGCTCTACCTTATATGGAAGCAGTCAACCACCATCATGACTGTTGTTGTTGCCAGGTGCCACTGAGTCAAGTACAACTCAGGTGACCCTCTGAACAAGAGATCTGAACCCTGTCCCATGCGATGCCATCTTCACAATCTTTACGCACTTTGAGCCCATTGCTGTAGTGACTGTGTCAATCGATCTTGTTGATGGTCTTTCTTTCACTGCCCTTTCACCTTTCTGACGTCCTTCTCCCAAGAAATAACCACCACGTTAGCAGGAAATTATCCAAGGTTCTAGTACTACTTGTTTTTTATGGAGAAAATGTGTTCCTATAAACCTACGGAACTTCCTTACCACCTATGAAACTGAGGAACAGCAAAATTTCTTCTCCCTATTCCCCAACAATGGTGGACTTCTTTGAAGTCCAAGCTCTACTCTAAATGGATCACTTAAGTCACATGTAAACAAAACACAAGGTAACTCTCTGGATAGTGATTGGTGTAACAATACATATCTGGTAGATTCTATTTTTTAAAAGGATTCATTCCAACCTGGAATAAAGCCTACTTGTTTACATGTAAAAGATTAAATGGTCATAAGGCAATCTTGTGGGAATATTTTTAATGCATGACAAAACATTAGACCAAATACCCTGTTCCAGAATGCACTGTGCTACATGATTCTGCAGTTTTGCTAGAGCATTTTCATTTCTGCAGTTTAAAAAAAATGCTATTGGAAAGCAGACACCAGATCAAAGCATTTCACTTTATCTAAGGTGCATACCATTATGTTACTTCCAATTTAATAAAACTGAATAGTTAACAATAACAATGTGTACTTAACTGAGAGCTTATTGCCTTCAGTTACTTGCAAGGAGGCCCATTTATACATTTACTGCAAAAAGGAACTCATGTTAAACCTAGCAGTGTATCAATGGGTAAAAGCAGCTCAAATGTTTGGTTCCATTTAGCTATGGTAGCAAACATCCCATTCTTGAAAAGGTCTGATCCGTACAACATGGTTGAAAGCATGTCTATTTCATGTAGATTTTTAAGGTTTCAAAACGTTATTTACACACACATTACTCCCACTGATGAGAAAAACATTGCGATAAAAAATGCTATTGCCTTGGGGGGAGGGGGGAGTCTATCTTGCAAACAGGCTAAAATATTACCTAGAAGGGTCATCAAACTACAATCTCGTTATAAATACCTCTCCAGGTCACTGCTACGCTAAACAGTGCTCTAGTTTCTTGCTGGAAATAAAGATTCGGAATTTCAAGAGACACAGAAGGTCAGGTTTAAAGCCACCGAATTTAACAGCTCCTCATCGACCTGGCACAGCATCGCCTCCACGCTCCAAGGGGAAGACTTAAGTCGGATCCCCGCCACTTGGAGAGCAGGTGCGAAACGGGCGCTCTGGGGTTCCGCAGCTGCAACAACCTTCCTCATCGTGGACCCTGGGCCCTCCCTAGGAGAGGAACCTTTTAGTGCCCATGTACTTCTAGAGGCCATTTACTGGAGTAGACGGAGTGGTGGATTCCTAATCCTTTCCACCTGACAGGAGAGTTATTTCCCTGTCTCCCCCTCCCAGGAGCCACAAACACAGGCAAAAGGGGCGCAAGCGGCCCACCAACCCCCTTGCAGCACCCCCTCCCACAGATGTGGGCACGGGGCGGGGTCCAGTCCCCCGCGCCTGACCCCGTCTCTCCCCTTCGGGATCCCCGCCGCCGCTCACCGTGAAGGGGACATCCCCGACGCTGCCCACGGAGTAGCAATTGTCTCCAGGGTTGACAGCCCCGGTGAGGACCTGATGCAGATGCATCTCCAGAGCTCGGGCTGGAGCGAGAGTAGAGATGAGCCCGGCTCCCGGCCCTTCTCCAGTCGCGAGAGCCGCTTCCCCCTCCGCCTCCCTGGGGACCCACCCCGCGGCGGCTCCGGCTTAACGCCTCTCCCCACTCTCGCCTCCCCCGCGCCTCCGCCCTGCCATGGGAGCTCCTCGACCGCTGCCACCGCCCGGATCGCCGCTCGACTGCGGAAATGCCCGGATGCTCCCACTGCCTGCTGCACCGGCGCACAAATGCGGGAGGAGGGCAAGGGTGCGTGAGAGGCGGGGGAGGGCCTGGAGAGCGCGCGAGCCAGGCGCGTGCTGGAAGGGACGCTCCGCCTGAGGCACACGGGCGACGCGCGCGCGCCCAGCCCCGAGAGCGACAGTCAAGTGGGAGGATAAACCCCTCCTCCTCTGCCAAGATCCGCGCTCGCTCCTTCTCCCCGCCTCCCCCGCCCCTGCGTTTGCGCGTGCGCACACAGTGGTTTCCAAGGCAGATGCGCGCACTTTGCGGGTCCTCTGTCCCGGAGTGCGTGCGCAGACGTGCGGGAGTTCCCTTAGACCTTCCAGGGCTGAGGCCACTGGGGGAAGAGGAGCCCGAGGAAAAGGACAGAGGCGAGCGGGGAGCACAGAGGCGGCGGAGGCCACTCGGGGCCACGACGCAGTCCAACGCCTGGGACACGCCACTATCCTCTCCACCCACTCACCTCCGTGTTTTATCCATTCCCTAGTGCACTGTGTAATGGTCAGTGCAGTTGACCTCAGGAGAAGGACACCCGTCACTGGGAAATTCCTCCTCTAGAAATCTTAGAACCCTTAGATCTTTTAAAAGTACGGTGTATAAGGGTTTTTTTTAAATTTTATTTTACACAAACAGTACAGGCATCTTACAACTGTTTAGAGAAGCTGTTCTCCCTTGACAGCAAATTATTTTGCTCCCATCTTTTGTCACGATTGTTCTAGACGCAGAAAAGGCCCCCTAGAGACGGTTGGCTCCTCCAGACTCTTCCTTCCCCGCCCCCCACCGTGGGTGATGTCATGGATTCGCAGAATCGCCTGATTTTCCAGACAGTCTGCTAAACTTTGAGTCTTTGGGGCAAGGATCAGATAGATCCCTGCTCCAGGTTAATTCACCAAACAATTTTTAAGCCCATATTGTGTCTTTAAGTCACTAGGGAAAAGAGTAAAGTAATACCGAGACACAAGTATCTGTAAAATCAGGCAAGCCGCCAAAAGTGTCATGATTGAGATACAAAGTTCTATGAACCACTAAAGATGAATTATTTCGATCAAGGAAACAGGTAAAGCATGGAGATACTGACACAAAACACTGGGTAGAATTTAGGCGCACTGAGATGGGAGGGGAAAGATGTATTCCAATAGAAACTAGCAAAAGCTGAGGCTTACTAGTGTGAAAATGACAGCATCTGGTATAGAAATAAAGAGAAATTTTATGTTCGTGACGGAAGATATACCGAGGGGTGGGGGGGGCGGGGAATTGTCACGAAGAAGAAATATGGATATCTAAGAAGTACGGGAGGTGTCAATGAAATTGTTCTCAGCTGAACTTTATCTAATTAGAGCTGCTTTAGGAAGATGACTTAGGCAGCACTGGAAAGGATAATTAGTAAGGTGAGGAAGATTGGAAGCCAGGACTTGGCAGAAATTGGTAATCTGCTCAGTGGAAAGAAGAAGGGTCAAAGATAATTCCCTCTAACACATTTCCCTTTTTCATCTGGTGGCAGGCAAACAGGAAACTCTCAGAGCAACTTTTGGCTCACTCTTTCAGTCTCTCTCCTAAACATAACATCCAACCCGCTGGTACGATGTTGATTTCTACTCAGCTCCCTTATATAAGCGTCCCTTTCTGAGGTTCCTAATTAACACCCCCTAATCATTTCCACTACCATTTGCCTTCATTCCAGACGTCATCATTTCTCATTTAATTACCCTAATAACCTCCTAACTGGTTTAACTTATGCTGTGCTCTCCAACCCATCCACCCGCACTGCAACCGGAGAAATATGTTTAAGGGAAAATACCTGTACTTAAAATTCTGCAGTAACTCTCAACTCCCTATAGGTTGCAGTCTAAACTTAGTTTGACAGGCAAACCTGCAAGGTCTTGCTTTAGCCTATTGTTCCTGTTTTCTCTCACCCCAAAAGGCCCCAGGCCCACTGAGCTATCATATCATATTCACTGAGCAACATATCATATTCTTTATGCTTTCTTGCCTTTGTTCACACTCGACTCTGTGTGGAATTCCATTAATCCCCTCTTTTCACCATATTTGCCTCTAAGGAGCATCTTGGTTACACTTCCTCCAAGAAAAATGTGTTTGTTCTTTTGACAGTATCGGGGATATTTTGTACTCTTCGCTAACACCACGATCCAAAGTATTGATTCTTCTTCAATCATCTTTACTCATTGTCCAATATTTCAAGTCAAGATCAACATCTTAGTTTCTCTGTTCCCCAGTGCCTTGTGCTTTAATCATAGAACTTTTTAAAGAAAGTACCCTACATCCTTTTCTATGCCTATTTAAGCTTAACTCTTAACCCTTCACAGAAACTAAAAACTCAAGATAAAGACACTTTTGAGGAAAATTTAAATAATTGGGTATGACATAACTGCCCTATAGATTGGTTGTTCCTAGCGTTGCCGGGTGGTAGTCAGCTCAATGGCACCTAAAAACAACCCTACAGAATGCAATATGCAACTTTAATAAGCCACCTCTTTCAGAATAAATGAACAGCAACTAATGATTTTAAATTTCCCTTTGAACATTCCCCAAAAGTTTACATTTGTAAGCTGATCAAAATTGTAAAACAAGGAGCACCTCTCTTCAGAGAAAGGTTTCTGGTTGTTGAGTATTTTTTATGTCCAATAAAATCTTTTTAACTCTAATGGACATATTGATCAGATTTTCTTTCATTAATGTATTTATTTGCTGACCTAAAATTTGAATGTGAGTAAGATCACACAATTTTTCAAGAAACATTGGTAGGGGAGTAATCTTTCAAATTCTTACTTGTATTTATTTGTGTTTTATATTATACTGGTTTTGTAAAAAGAACTATACATTCATGTAAATATTATGTGGAGTATACTGGGCTCAAGGAAAATATAAGTGCTGCATATTTAAATATATACTTTGACCATTGCAGATGAATAAGAAAGACCAAAGAAGGACAAATGTCTTTGAATTGTGATGTTATGTATGTGTGTGCTTGTATATATGTGTGTGTGTGTGTGTGTGTGTAATATGAACTGTCCCAAACCAAACAAATCTGTCTTGGAATAAGTACAGACAGAATGTTCCTTAAAACCAAGGGTGGAGGGGAAACCTTGTTTCACATACGTTGGGCATTACAAGGTGTTGCCGGTCCCTGGAAGAATGGATTGACCTACTGAATACAACAGTGAATGCAAGCTCTGCAGTGGTTCTGAGGATGGCATAGGACCATTCTATTTCATTCTGTCATTGTACACAGAGTCACTATAAATTGAAGCCAACACAGTAGTATGTAACACCATCGTTTTAGTAAGAGGCATTAAGGCACATAAATATTAAGAAATTTACTAGCAACATTGAAAATATGACAGACATACTTCTGTGGATCAACCTTCAGCCAAATGATAGACAAGTCTAGAAAGTAAAAAGTAATCCCAGGAGGGAACACACTTCTTAGAATGATAAATAATTTTAAAAAAATGATCAATCATGCAAGATCATGCAAGATCAAAAGGCAGCATTTCCCCAAAAACAAAAACAAAGCTTAAAAAAACAGAAAGGAGCAAGAAAGAAGGACAAATGAAAATGAGGAACACAGGGAGGGAGTGGGAAGAGTGTTGTGCTATTGTAAGGATGGCCATCAGTGTCAAAATTCATATAAATCATTGACTGGGAAATCTCATTTTCTCTATAAACTTTCACCCAAACCACCATAAAATAAACGCTCTTAAAAAGGCATGCCACAGTATCAGATAAATTTGAGAGTCCTTACACAGTACATGTAGACATACCATATATCAGTAAAACCTGAAAATTAGCAGTTAATACTTACATACTTTATTTTCTCATGCTTTACTTATTTCACTTCAGAAATAATGTTTTGGGATTTGTTTTTTTTTTTTTATAGATTGAAGATTCATCCCAATCTTGCATCACGTCTATAGTTACCAATTTTCTAAAAGCAAGTGCTCACTTTGTATCGCTGTGTCACATTTTGGAAGTTCTGGTGGCCTGATGTGTAAGGAGCTGTCCTGTTAACCCAAAGACACATGGTTCACATCCACCAAATGCTCGAAACATCCACCAAATCTCCACTTGTGCCGTTTACTACCTCTGAAAACCTGCTGGAGGCTTAGCCCTGGATCAATTCTGACTCAATGGAATGTACAACAATAACAATTCTCAGTACGTTGGAACTTTTCATTATGCTACTGCATACATGTAACATTTATATGCACTGAGAGGGGAAATGTTTGATTTGTTTACTGTGATATTTGCTTTATTGCAGTGGACTAGATCTGAACAGGCAATACCTTTTAGGTATACCTGTACAATAAAATGAAATAAATTCCTTCACAAAAATACTTTATTACATGCTGACAAATATGTCTGTTAAAAACTAGAACAAAACACATGCTAAAACAGGACATTTGAAAAATTCTGTTCATGCCTTGAGTAAAGGCAAATAATTTACTAAATATCAGTGTACTTTAAGAAACAGGAGAAAAAAATAATATGTAATAATAGGAACTAGTGTTTCAGAGAATATTAGATATGTAATGAAAAAAGAAGTGCTTGACTCAGTGAAGAATCTACTTTCAAGATGGTACACTAGTATGATTGGCAAGTCGGTACTAATAGTTATTGGCAGGAGGCCTGAGTTCCTCAGTACGCATGTGGTCCTTTCCACACAACTGCGTAAGTGTCCTCAAGAAATGATTTCTAGCTACCTCCATGAGAGCAAATGATCCAAGAGCTAGGCCAAGATGGAAATCAGAATGTCTTGTTTAATGAGCCACAGAAGTTATTCACAATGAATTACACACTTTTTAATTGGTACAAAGGTTTTAGTCTTCAAGTTTAAAGCTTGAAGAAATACTGTGTCAAGGCCTGAAAAATCATTGCTTTAGTTGGTTTATAAATGAGTCTCTTAGTCTTCCTACCTTCACTATATTAGAAACTAAATCAAAAGATCTTC